TAATCCATTTTGTTCAGATTCAAATGAGCCTTAATCCACAGTTTGGTAGCAAACGCAACCAAACACCATTTTTAAATCCACTTTGTGATTTTTATATCTATTTCAAAAGACGTGGTTATAGAATTTTTGAAACTTCAGTAAGTCTTCTAATAACAAATAAATTATGTTTGAATTATTAACGCCAAAATCATCCCAAAATACTTTTTTGCCGTTTTCTCAAAATCGAAAAATTTGGACTTAAGGGTATTTGAAACAACTCAAATGACCACATGGATACAGGCGAAATAATATTTTCTTTACTTATAAAAGTCTTAAATTGTAATACGTCATTTTTTAGTTCTGCTAGGTTTAAATCTTGTTCATAACATTTTAATACCTCTATTGAAGAGTCACCAACATCATAAAATTTTTTTTTGATTTTATTGTAATAGTTTTATATCCCTCAGATCTTTTTTTAATGTTACCTAGGCCTTAGTCCGCCCCAGTCCATAAGGCTACTTACTGTTTTCAGACCGTTATATACTACTAGAAAAGATTAGGACCTGCTTGGAGAAGACTAAATACTGCTAGTTTTACACTAGAACTAACACAAGACCTAGAACTAGAATCATTCGGGTTTAGCCGTCTTAAGAGACGTGGGACCATATCCGAATGTTTCTAGTTCTCGGTCTAGTGTTAGTTCTAGTGGCAGTCGTAGGTAGCGCTAGTTAGCAGAAGTAGGTTTAGTAGTGGAAAAAAACTTTCAGTTGTCAATGTCAACTTTAATTTTATTATTATATTCGTAATCTTCATAAAATAACCTTTGAAGTGAGCCCAAACTTGACGCATTTATCTCATAAAAGCAAGAAGGTCGAACTTTCAACTTTTAATTTTGACATATTTGTCAACTTCATAAAAAATCCTTTAAAATGAGTCCACTTATCTCAAAAAACAAAAACGTTAAAATAAAAAACGTTAAATCCGAAGTTAGCAATTTATTTTTAAATATGAATACCAACCTTAATTTTTGAATTTTTTTATTATATTTTTGTTTTTGTGACAAATATTAAGACATTTTATAAAAATTAGGAATATGTCAAAATGACATTGACATTTCAAACAGGAAGTTGTTTACACATTTTTCGCTAAACCCGAATATTTCTAGTTATAGTTTTATTATTATGTACACTTTTTCATGATTTTCTTTCTGATATGTCATTAAGGATCGAGAATGTTTTAAAGCCGAAGTCGCTTGCGGCTGAGGCAGTAGATTAGGTACACTTTTTTCGCTAAACCCGAATATTTCTAGTTCTAGTTTTATGTACACTTTTTTACGATTTTCTTTCTGATATATCATTAACGATCGAGAAAGTTTTAAAGCCGAAGTCGCTTGCGGCTGAGGCAGTAGATTAGGTACACTTTCCTTAATGCTTTCTTTCTGATATATCATTAACGATAGAGAAAGTTTTAAAGCCGAAGTCGCTTGCGGCTGAGGCAGTAGATTAGGTACACTTTTTTCGCTAAACCCGAATATTTCTAGTTCTAGTTTTATGTACACTTTTTTACGATTTTCTTTCTGATATATCATAACGATCGAGAAACTTTTAAAGCCGAGGTCGCTTGCGGCCGAGGCAGTAGATTAGGTACACTTTTTTTGCTAAATCCGAATATTTCTAGTTTTAGTATTATGTATACTTTTTTTTATGATTTTCTCTCTGATATATCA